TTCTGTTCACCTGAAATACTGTTTCTAACCTTAGTAGAGCTAAACTAAGGACGTGTGCTGCAAGGTGGTTTAGACAAAACTTGTCCAAGCTGTTACCTCAGAAGGAAGATTTCTGAAAGGTTAATATCCTTTGTGTAGGAGTCGTCAGCATTATCTAAGGGAACAAGTATTGGGATAATTCCTCAAACTAATATTACTGTTTATAGTTGTTCTTGCAATACTTTTTTTTTTCTCTACGGTTTTTTGAAAGAGCTCCTAAATTATGTCGACTTCCCTAGTTTTGTGCTATGATAGGGAGTTCTTGTCCCCAAACCTTCTCAGCAGACCCCTTTTTACTCTACGTTGTGGTAAAATCCTTATCTAATGTATCTATTTGCCTATGCTAAAATTGCAAAAAAAAATGTAAATTGCATTAGGCTTTCTCTGTGTTCTGTGTTGTTAACAAAAAGTTAAAATACTGATGTTTGCGAAAAGAAACATTTTTTTTATGCAGTTCCTGGATCGTTATAAAGTATTATGATCCGATCCCTAGAGTTCACTGAGTGTATGTATGTGCCGAAGATAAAAGCATGTATTTATCTGAATGTAATCTGGTCAGGTTTTTTTGTTTCTTGCTTCACTTTTAAGGTCTTTTAACTGTGCTTGTGGTAGAATGAATTGTATTATGCTGATGCTTTACTGAAAGCATCTATATACAGTAGTTTTTTGTTTTTTCTTTTTTCTTTTAACATGAAAATGCCTAGGAAAACAGATGAACTTTAGCACAATCTTTTTCCCCTTTGGCAGAAATTGTGCAGCATTTATAATCCCGTTGTCAAGAAGAGTCACTTGTATAGATAGCCCTTTCAACAAGGAGTAGCTTGCACAAATTTCAGATTATTTCAGCCTCCGTTTCATAACGTACTGTTGCATCAATATAGAGTAAATGTAACTTACAACTGTGTATATACGCAAAAAATTGTATACCAGTGCTGCTTGTGTCTATGCACTGTTAGGCAGATAGCAGTTATGGGTAGAGGAAAAGCTGAGGATATCAGAGGGGAGGAAAAGTAGTACTTGATTTTGAGTCTGTCAGCTGATAACTCTGTAGCTGAAATCTATTGCTTTTTGTGGTTGTCAGTTGCAAATCCCTAGATACTAAGTAGGCTCTGTGAACACAGGTTTCTTAGCCATCAGATGGTTATACTCCTACTAAATCCCAGTGACAGGAAGGAAAGTTCTTAATCTTGATATGCCGTGTGAGGTTTGTGGGATACTTCTGTGGAATTTGAGCGGCTGAATTCTAATAGCTCAGCAAAGCTGTAGTATCTCTTAACACAAACTAAGAGCAGCTATGTATTTTTATTCTTGTTGTTGATTAGGGGATATTTTAACCTTGTTTGGTGTCTTGGGAGGGGGAGGAGCAGGCAGACTTGCATAGGATCATCCTTTCTATTTCTAAGATAAGAATTAGAGAACAGAAGTAACATCTGCCTCGTTCAACCTGTGTGTGCCAAAACCATTATACTACTTCAACAAAAAATGTGTATCAGCACTTCCACACTGAATTATGGAAATGAAGAGATTTCTTGGTAGGTAATACTCTGCGCTGACCCATTTCACTTCAGCATGTCTCCTTTCACAGAACAGTGTTGTGACTTGTTAGGGTGATCATCTGCTGAGCTGTCAGCGCAAACTTGGGTGCCCAGTTGCATTTGACTCTTTTAAATGCCACACTGAAAAGGTGGGAGCCCACTAGGTGGTGCCACAAGGCCTGTGTACTGATAGCGCCCAAGGTGGGGGACCGGCCTCTTTAGAAGCTGCAAGCTTGTATATAGCATCAGAGAGGTATATGTTCTGATTTTGCAGTTGTGTATTACCGCAGCTATGTTTTTGTGCTATGTAATGTAACATCTCTCTTCAGTGTTGATAATAGGGTCCTGAAGCTTTTGGGTAGAATACAGTAAACAACTGTGCTGTGGGTTGCAAGGAAATGCTTGTAATTTCAGGGGAAACAAGCATGAAACTTATGTCTGTATTTTCATGGAGTTAAAGGCTCATGTAACAAAGTCTTTATTTTAATGCTTCTAAGTAGTTATGGGTGTATGGAGGGGGTTAAACCAGTTTATAAGGAATATATAGCCTTTGCCTACTGAGTGTGCATGCTGTTTTTTCCTCCGTTTACCTTTATGCTGCAAAAAAGGGGGGGGGGGGAGGAAAAGGGGAAGATGATACTTGTATTTTCTTCTGTTGTGATACTGCCTTCTTCCCTATCCCTACCCTGATAGTATGATTGTACTGGTTTTGTAGTATGATGAATGACATTTTAAAAATTCAAAATCCAAAAAAAATGGAACAATATGATGATACAAAGCATTCACCTAGCTGCTACATTCAATTTTTTAAGTGTGTTCTGACCTAAAAAGGAAAACATGCTCTGAGTGTGTGTGGGTTTTGTTTTTTGTTTTTGGGGTTTTTTTTGGTAAAAACAAGCCAAACGCCCGGGCTGGTGAGTAGTTGGAGCTGACATGCTGCTAATTAGCAGCATGTCTATCTTCAAGTGAAAACCTGCAAATGAGTTACTGGGGACACGGGTGTGGGTGACAAGTGCCATAACTGGTAGGCTGGGACACCTCTCCTCTAAAAGTTACTGGTAGTGGGTAAGGACAGCATAGTATATTCTGGATGTGTTAGATTGGATCCAAAAATACCATATGTGTTGTGCTTGCTGTATGAAAGAACAAAGTAGTGGGTTTAGAATTGGTACACTAGGCTTTTAATAAAAAGGCTGACATCTGTTTTCAGAAGTCCTACTGAAATATTTCAAAGGGACTTAATGGCTTCTCACTTCAGATTGCTCAAATACTAAACGCTAATGCTGTTAACAGAATTACCTTCAAAAATAGATCATTTCATAAGGCAACCTAAGTACATACTTCTAACAGGAATTTCCCTCCGTCCTTAGCAGCATGGCTTGTTGCTACTTAGTATGTCACAAGTCCATTAAGAATTGTTGTACCTTAATATGGAACATGGTATTCTTAAATACTGATTTTTGTAGTAAAATTTTGTAATAAAAGGTTTTGAATTTTGTGAGTTGACTTTTTCCTTTATTTTTTTCCATATTAAGGATTTACAATATACACACAATAACTTTAAACGTGCTGCTTTGTTGTTAATCATGCTTAAATGTCAAAATTGTATGTTTTTTCTGGTTTATTTTTAGTAAGGCAAATGAGACTTAGTTCTGTGTACTTCAAGGTGTTATCGAAGTACATCACTTTCTTTAGAATATCTGTTTTACTCTCTCCTTATTAATGTCTTTAGAACTGTCAGTATGAAACTGAAGTGTTAGGAATTCAGAATACTAATTTTAGGAAAGTTTGTTTCATTTACTTTCTGTGAAAGTTGTAAGTAAAATGTTGAATTAGTGAAAGTTACTGGCTTAGTTTCTAGAAAATGTGAGCTGGAGAATCAGCTTCTCACTTGAGTATTCTGATATCCTTAGGTTCAGAGAGCACAGTGAAACACTTCATTAAATGTTAACAAATGAATTGTGACTTTAAAGGATTAGGAAGTCTTTCTCCTTTTAAGAAGTATAACTTCAAATTTGTGGAGTAGTAGTGACTGGGGACAGATAATTCAAATAAAACACGTATTAACTGGTAGCAAGTCAAAGCCTGTTTTTTGTTTTTATTTTTTTGATAAATATAACTACAGAATCAGTGAAACTAAAATGTCTATACAGTATCTTACATTTAGCTTGCCATGGATTGGAAATCTGGAGGGGGGAAAAAAACCCCATGATGCATAAAGATGTTATAAAATATTTTCACCTTCTCGGATGATAAGTCAACAGCTTACTGGAAATGGTGTTTTTAGTTGCTAAGTCTTAATATTTTTTTTATTAAATTATAAAGGCATAATACTCAGTTTATTCTCTCTGAAGCATAATATCTTCTGTAGAAGAAAAGTGGCTTTCCTTTGCATGTGTACATGGTGTCTATAAGACTGAATATGGAAATGTGTCAGAGGAGTGCTCTGAATTCAGAATTTACTTCAATAATCAGAGATGCCTCTGCACTAATCTGTTTTAATCTATATCAACATGTTTTTGATGGCTTCAGCTGAAAAAATAAAAATCTTACTTTGTGTTCTCTCTAGTTAAATAGCAAACTAACTGCTTCCTATTGTTTCTTAAATGCTTTGTAAACCTTGAATATTGCTCTTCTGGTACTGTTCACAATTATTATATATAACTGGCAGCTTTCAGGAGAGACGGAGTGTGGAAAAACTGTTAAGCTCCTTTAAAGGGGTTTTTAACTTCAGTCTCTCAAATTCTCATGACTTCCTGGCTGTGGATGTCTAAAAAGCTTGCTCTTCCTTATATAGTATAGATCTTTCCAAAAACTACAAACTGCCAAATGCTTGCTTAAACCAGGAACACTAGAAATGAGTGTTTAATTTTGTCTGTCTGTCTGTTGCTCTTTATTCCTAGGAATATTAATCTACACTGCTCTGATATTCTCAGGAATTAGTGGATCTGATTCATGGAAGAGCTAACAAAGTGTTAGAAGGTGTAAATACAGTTTTCTGTGGCATACCTATGCCGTAGCTCAAGGCAATTCCTTGTACGTTCTGTTGTTCAGTAAGGCATGAACATAAGGCGCACCTTCTCCCACCACTGGGATGTTAGTTAGGACCATTCCTCTGTGTTTGACCGTGTCGGTCATGCTTTTGTCAAAATTGGCAGTGGCTTCCAAAGCTGCTGTTGGCGAGAAGTGCAAGGCAGTCTCGGCCAACACTGACTGACGGGTTACAGAGAATATGATTACAGCAGTCGCGTTTCTTAAGGAAACCGGGCTGGAAGGATGAGTTTACCTAACCTCTTTTAGCCACAGGCAGTATAGAAATGAACGTATTAATCGGGATATATGTCTGCTGTCCAGCGACGTTAGCCTGAAATCCGTGTATGTAGCTCTTTGAACTTTTTTAGGTGATCACAAGATTCTCGAACTGAAGTCCTGAGAAGGACTTTTTTAAAGTTGTCCTCACTTGCCTGCTTAATCTAGAGGAATGTGATGACTAAGTGTTTCAAGAATCCAATGACTTTAGGTATAGAGAATCACCACGCAGTTCTGCGGATCTTCTATAAACTAATGACTTGGTCTACCAACTGGCAAGTCAAGTAGTTGTTGCACTAGAATTTGTGGTTTTGGGACCGTTTGAGTCTTAAGCTTTTTTTTTTCCTGCAGAATTTTTTAAACTTATCTGTAGAGAAGTAATTCTGCTGTGTGGGAGTTTGAAGCATTTTATCTTTAACAAACAGAAGTAGTTGATTTGTGCTTTACCTCTGGTGAAGGTCATGCAGTTTTGTCTGGTTTCAGGCAGACGCTAAGCTGTACTAAGTTAAGTGGCTTTGAAGAAGTTTTACTGTGTACTTCTGCCTGTGGATAACTTAATCTGGTAGCTTTAATTACTTTCCTGTTCTTTTACACTGTATGGAACTTGCACTGTGTACATGAGGAAATGTACCAGCCCTCGCGGACGTTGGGCTGTCTTCTTGTCTGCCTGTCCTCTCTTTGCTGAATGTGTTTGAAATGACAGACTATGAAGTGACATCTTGTTAAACACGAAAGTGAAAATATTTTGTTTCACTTTAATGCTCATCTTAACTAAGTCTCAAATCAGGCTATTTATGCTTTGTCTGTTTTGTTTTTCAGAGTAATATAATTAAAAGTGCTTCTTCTACATTTGATGAAGAGCAAATCCATGGTTGGATGGTGGATTAATAAGTAGTTGTCCTATTCTAAGAGTAAGAAGATATTTTGGGAGTTGGGAAGCACTGGATTTTCACCCTAGTCCAGCAGCTTTGCTGCTCACTTAAACACAGATGAATGAAGACCCCATTTGGAAAATCACCAGGTCAGCGGTCCAGAGCTGATGCAGGTGAGGTGTTTTTGTTTGTTTGTTTTTTTTAGTGGATAAAAAAGTATTCTTATTCTGTAGACTTTCTTATATACTAATGGCTTTATGAAGCTATTTATTCAGTGATTAGTTTCATTATGGAAACTGTTGAATTGAAAAAGCCTATGTTAATTTAGCAGTACAGATTTAGTTAAATGTTTAGTGGCCTATCATATGAAAGGTTTAGTAGAACTGTAAGTTAAGTGCAGTTCTAAAAAGGAAGGGAAACAATCTGTGGTAAAAGTAGACTGACATTTTGAGGAGAAGATTTCTCTTTTGCTCATTCCAGAAGTGTTGGTTGAGTGAACAGTGGAGTAATGTGTTTCCCCACATATTTGTAACTTGCCATAAAACTCTTAATGGTTTGGTAGAAGCTGAGATCAGCATGTAAAAGAGCATCTCTTGAAAAGGTTTTTCTAAATGTGCGCAAAGGTTATTACTACAATATGTGTTCCCTAAATTAGGTTAGTCCAAGTATTTTAAAGCAATTCTTTCTTCAAGAAAGCCAAAATGAAGAGTAACCACTCAGAATTAGCCAAAGCAGTCGTAAAAGTTAAGTTTTGCAGCTTGATAGACTAATGAATCTCAGTCTTGTGTGCTCTGTAGTAAGGATTATCAGCACTGACAAGAAAAGCATCAAGTTACCAACAAAATTTGTTCTGTGTTGTCATGGGATGGATGACCAGCTACCTTACAGTCCCAGACCGTGTAGGTTTTGTGTGAGATGAAGGAGGAGAGGAGGGAGAGAAGGAGATTTACTGCATGACTACTCCACAACTTGTTTCAAAGATCAAAATTTACAGTGGTACAAAGCAGCAGTTCTGATTAAATTAGAAACTTGTAAGTATTCTAGTTGAGCTAATTACACTAAAAGTTATGCTAATGGTAACTACTTAGTAAACAGACGAAGCTAGCCAATCTATACTAATTGCAATTGCTCAAATAAATGAACTAGGCAAGCCATTTCTGGTTGATCTTACCCACTGTTGCCTCAGTGGCCAACGTACGCTCAATCCCAGGGAAGTAACTGTGGGAGAGCGTCCTCGTCCCGAGGAGTTTCACAAGTTCGCAGACCTGCTATCACCCACGAAGAGCCAAAGACGTCTCTGGGGCCAACCTGTTTGTACCCTTCAGGGGAAGGTGCAGGTGGAGTCACTAGGCCAGTAGCGACTGAGTGAAGACAAGTGCAGCTTTTGGCTGCTGCAGGGTTCAGCTCTCTTCCTTTGTTGTTATGATGATGATCGCACTCCTGGTCGTGGGGTGGGAGGCAGTGGCCGAACACCCCCACAGCAGGCTAGCTGCCTTGAGCACTCTTCAGCACTGAAGAAAGGAGTTTGAGTGACTGCTTTACTCTTGCAGTGTTGGCTCCAAGGAGAGATCCTTGGCAAGATTTCTTTAAAAGCTTTTTGGTAACTTTTAAAACCATTTTTACCTGTGATTAGCTTGCATTAAAGTTGCTTTGCTGTCAGTCATCTGAAAAATTTAGCAATTTCTAAGATAACTCCTGCAAATATTTTCAGTAGATGGTTTCAAAGGAGAGACCCAGTGCAAACTTTTAGATACTTGCTTCAATGGCTTTTCATTCAACCAGCTCATATGAGTCATCCTTCTTCTTAACACCACTAGACTATCTGTGGAAGGAGAATTGTAATCCTTGAGAGAAAAGAAAGGAAAGCAACCTTTGACCTCCCACTTTATTCCAGTATTGTTACTTTTAAGCCTTAGCTGGGTACTGTGAGAGTTCAAAGAATTCAGATGGTAGGTTTTTAAGGTTTAAGGCAAGAATTTTATCTAATAATTTAACTGTGATATACAATGAACAATATCTCTACAGCACAGATTTGACATGTCATAATGTGAAATTTATGTAGAGGGTAATTTTGTGGCTAGATTTTTTTTTTTTTAATTTAAACTAGATAATTCTACTGTATTAACATGTTGAATAGAAAATTTCATTACTTGTTGTCCTCCTAACTCTATTGAAATAAAAAAGAGGGAGACTTGATCATGCTTTCCACTATTATTTCATTATAGTTTATCCTGTAACTGGCACCTTCATTCTGTCCCATGCAAAATCATTATTAGAATTGAACTCGGATGTCTTTAGATGCCATTTTTGCTTGGTAATATGTAATAGTTAGGTCTTTACCTTTTTCTATATGATAGGATGGGGATGGAATGATCTGCTGTACATGGAGATGCATATTAAGAGTGCAACAGGTTGCCATCATTGTGAGACTGCATAGCACGCTATAATGAAAATAGGGCACAAGATTTTTAAACACAGCTAGTGAGCATGGAAGACAATGCTTGTTTATCACAGCAGACAATTTCCCTTTGAAAAGAACAGCAAAAGCAGTAATTGATTTCATCAGAGTTTATCAAGTGATTTTTGAAGGCTGGCGGAAAGACCTTGTAATGTGATATAAATTAAGGTTACAGCGAGTTGATTGTATCTTATTTTAAAAAAAAAAAACTTGTTGGGGGGAAAATGCTATCAAGAGTACAACAAGGTCAAGTGTTAGGGAGCTGGAATTAGAAATCCAAATTAGAAAGTGGTTTGAGTGACAACTCTAACTAAAATCTCTTTCTAAAAGAAAAGGTACATACGGATGAAGAGATCTTTCTCAACTGCGCGTTAATAGTATTTGCTAGGGGAGAACTACTTTTCAGAAATTATCATAAAATCTTCCCTGTTCTATGCGTTAGGATTAACTAGGTGTCAGTAATACTTGTGACCTTTTATAGACTTTTACAGCTGGCATGCATTTTCTTAAAATTGGGGACGTTAGGGATTTATTCTACTAGTGGTAAGATTTTTCAATAGGAAGAACATGGTTTAATTACTGGACTTGACAATTACTTGATTTGAAATAGTTATTAATGATTAACAAAGGACAGGGTTTTAACAACATTTGCTAACCTGCATAATATTGTAAACAACTCTGGGGGGAAAAAAAATCTTTTACATTAATGGTAAGTAACTTTTAACCAGGATTTGCTTTTTGAAAGAACTATTGATGCAAGTATCTTTGCTTATTTTGACACATCTCGCTACCTTCCCTTCTCAAAGATAGTCATCACTTTCCAGAAACTGCCTGAACAGATATTTATTTTCAGGAGAACTGGATACTTTCACTAGAAAACTTTTTTTTTAATAACAAATTCTACCTATAAAATTGTTATATAGGAGCAGGTTATATATTGAGTTGGTGTGTTCTTTCTGTTGCTAATTTTTCCTCCTAATTAAAGATAAAGTAAAAGCACATAGATCATTTCCCAACTTTTTATATTTGATCTGTGTTTATATTTTATCTGTACATCATATAAAATTGTAAAATCATGGAATTCTAAGAGATTTTTGGGATCATGTCCAGGCTGCAAAAAGCTATCTGTCCCATCTGCCTACCAGCAATGGAAAGGCTTTTATCCGCTGTAAAGTGGTTTTTGAAGGAAGAAATACGTTTGATCAATACATCCAGGCTTTTTAAGTCTACTCTGTTGGGAGAGAGAGTTCATACTTCCATCTTGAGAAATAAAGGATAGCACTGAAGATGAAGAAAGTAAGGAAAGCCAAACTTGTTTTGTGTTTTGTCTTATATCAGTAGTGTGTGTCTGCAGTCTCTGTGATTTTGTTACAATATAGAGTAGCTTTCCAGGATACAGTTTCAGTAGCTGAGCCAGCTGCTGTGTGCATGGCTTCGTGCCTGTGCCTGTCTAGCGCATGATAGCCCTCCCCATTTTAGAGGAATAGACTTTTTTTTTTGCCATTAATGCCATCTAGTATATTTGCCTATAAGATAAGTTATGATTGTCCTTGTTTTGTTTATATTTATGTTTAGCCTTTCTGTTTTACACTGTAAAAGTTGAAGTCATGGTCCTCTGCAGCCCTTCCCAGCTGGTGAGATTCTGTGCCTCTGGGAGGTAACAAACTGTATGATGGCCAGAAACAATCTCAATGTCTTTATTGGATGGCTTGAAGAGATAAAGTAATATTTTAATAAATAAAAGGGCTAGGAAGCATTAAGTGACGTGCTTGGTTATGTAGTTTGTTCAAGTTAAAAGCAAGTATAAATTTTTTTTGGTACTACCTCTGTTAATTAGGACAAGAGATCTCTCTCTCGGATGTGATTTGGTTAAAATTGTAGTGCAACTTTTCGGCAGAGTTGGAAATTCATTTTACCACTATTTATTTTACCACAGTTTTAATGAAAAGAACTCCTTTCCTTCCCCAAACTCTGTAAGTCACATTGAGCAATATTAGGTCTAATAGTGTGTGAATAAACATATCTACAGACTACTTCTCGGTCCCTAAAAGTAATTTTGAAGTAGCTACCAGTGCAAGAATAATTCCCATGTGGTTATATGGTTTTCTTGCAGCAGCCTCTGCAATATAATTTGCTCCCTGTTGCAAAGACAGCAAGTACTCTGAGAAATAAGATGCTGTGGTGTGTTTTGAACAACCCTTCTACGTTTAATGGACTGAATGGAGGGTGCCATCTAATTTGACAGCAATAAAAACATTGCTAGTAACTTCTCCTGTCCTTGCCCCAATTCTCTTCTCCTATTTCTCATCCCTCCCCTGTCCCCCTCAAGCCAAAACATGTACTCCCCTTTGACTCAGCTGTCTGAAAGTAAGTTTACTTCTTTTACTGTTCTTCTTCTACTAATATCTACTGTCGAATTATAAGGATCTGTTTTAAGGATCCATTATAGGCAGAATTAACCCAGGCTCAAAAAGCATGTTATTTGAACAAGCTGATGATTAAATGCTTGATTCTGTTGCTCTAGACTGGAACTTGGAATTTGTGTTGACTTTGAATTACAAAAGATACTAGTTTTAGTAGTCCTAAGGGATTGAGCAGTAAATGTATTTCTCCTTCCTCAAATCTATCGGCGTTTGAGTCATGGCAGCTTATTACAGAGAGGTAAAAATAATCCAATTACTTTAAATTATTTTTTTTCAGTAATAACTTTGTTAT